TTTCCTCAGACCTGGTGGGAGAGAGACCTGCAGAGAAGTCCTGACACCTGATTGGGCCACCTGTGCCCATTCCAGAGGACCGTGCTCAGCCCGGGGGCTAGATAAGAACCTGGAGATGGGACCAATGTGGATGCTTCTCCGCAGCTTCCCGTGGACCTCTTGTGTTAATGATTTTGTAAGGCCCACAAGTGATGGTATAAATATCTGAATGGCCATTGGCAGAGGACAGATTGTAAGTGGATTAGGCCTTCCCTGAGGGAAAGTTTTCCTCCTGCCACCTGTCTGGGGTGCTAACCCTAAGACAGAGCAATAACTCCGGGCTCAGCCCTGCAGCTCTGGCCTTTGACCACTGTGTTTGGAGACAGGATCGTGGACCTTGGCCCATGGGACGAGACAGGAACTGACCTCCATCACAGAGGCAGCGCTGGCCAAGTAGGTGGAGAGACCCCATGGGGCTGGACAAGGCAGGAAGCCTTCCTCACCTGGCCATAAGTAAGTCGAATTTCCCCACAGCGCAGTCAGGCAGCCACTTAGGCAGCCTGGGCATGAGTCACCATGGAGTTTGAAGTTAAGGGGGGGACATCTAATGATGCCCCCCAGGTCCCAGTGGGGCCCAGGGTGCAGGCTATCCTCAGGAAGGGCACTGTGTGAGGGAACAGCCGGCCTCTCCACTGGTGGCCACACGCAGGGTCAAGAGGCTGAGTCACAGATAAAGCCTCCAGCTCAAGATGCAAAATAGCTTTAAAAGAAATAACGTGGCTGTCACCCCATTCCTCCAGACAAGTGTGTGTGTCTGCATGGCTGCATGATACCTTACTGCAAGTGGTGTTGTCTCCAGAAGCCTGCAGCAACTCTGACTGATTCATCCCTCTCGCAGGAACACTTCCCTCCTGTCACTCAGCGCTCAGCTTCCCTCGGACCTCAGATTCCCAACGTTTAGCTATTCCAGGTCTGGGCTGGGCCTATGTAGCCTCAGTTTCCTCACTGTAGAGCAGAGTATAATTTGTCCAGCCTCCATGATGCCTACCTGTGTGCTTTGAAGTTACCACTAGACTCCTGCTGCCCACTAGAAAGCGGCTTCTTTTGTCAACAAACTCACAAGGAGAGCAGCCGAAGGGTCCGTCTGGCCAGACACTGTTCTTGTATGAATTTGGGGGAACCCACAAGCTCCCCGCAGAATCACTCCTGACTCTTTGAATAAGAGGCTCACCTGAAGCTCCCACCTCGCTGGCTTCTCTTCTGTTTCTTTTTATGGTGTTCTCCGCCACGTGTAATCAGATCTCCACACCATCATTGTTTGCTGTTGGCTTTCCTTACTCCTCCATCCTAGTAGTGGTGGGACTGCCTCTCCCTGTTCACAGCTGGCCAGGGCCCCGGGGCTCTCCCTGCCCAATACAATTCATTGTGTCTCTCGTGTCTTGGGAAATCGTTGCTTGCTGATCCTCACTATTTAGAGAATCACGTGTGGCTTGTTTCCTGGGGGTTTACGTAGCTCCTGGTCCCCCTTCTTGGCTGGAAGGAGATGTCACAAAGCTTAAACTCAGGATCTGGGTGCTCTTCCTGAGCTTTTGGCTCATGGCTGGTACTTTGCTACTTGAGCCACAGCTCCACTTCCAGCTTTTGGGTATTTTTAATTGGAGTTACGAGTCTCATGGACTTTCCTACCCAGGCTGGCTTTGAACCACAATCCTCAGATCTCAGCCTCCTAGTAGCTAGGCTTACAGGCGTGAGCCATGGGTGGGTGCCCAGCGTGATGCATTTCTTTCTTTCCTTTTTTGGGGGGAGTGGGGTGGGGTAGGGTCAGTCCTGGGTCTTGAACTCAGGGCCTGGGCACTGTCCCTGTGCTCTTTTGCTCAAGGCTAGTGCTCTACCACTTTGAGCCACTGCACCACTTCCAGTGTTCAGCTGGTTCATTGGAGATGAGAGTCTCACGGACTTTCTTGCCCAAACTGGCTTTCAACTGTGATCCTGAGCTCTCAGCCTCCTGGGTAGCTAGGATTACAGACGTGAGCCACCAGTGCCTGGAACTGATGCATTTCTTAACTGAAAAGAATGAGGCTTGCCTGAGAGAGCAAACATGAGCTTGGGTCTTTCTAACTTGCCCTGCTGGCCTGCCCGTCACCATCTCTACAGGTGTCACAAGTGTTTACTGAAGTCAGCAGACCCGGCCTCACTGAGCGTGGGGAGGGGGTGTGGCCCCTGCCGCGGTGTGTGGACAGCTCCGGCCGCTCTGTCATGTTCAGAGGTGGCAGCAGGCTGGGGCCCCCTTACTTGGGCTGGTGACAGTACTGGTGTCTCAGACTCTGCTGTCTGGCCACCTGCTCCTCCCCGGCGTCGCCCCGCCAGCACCACCTGAACACCTGGTGTCCTCTCTCCAGTTGACCTTCGCCTGGCCTATCAGCAAATCATGTCACAGCTTTTGGAGACTGCTGGCTCCTTGAGCAAGATGAGCGGGTCTTAGTCAGCTCTGTAATGATCCAAGACACAGCTGGCGCCAGGCCTGCAAGGGCACGGAGCATGTGTGATTTATCGCTGTATCTCCAGCTCCCAGCATGGTGCCAGGCACCAGGCATGCTCAGTGTATGTCGGATGAATGAGTGAGCGAATGAGCACCTTCAAAGCGCTGTCTCCTCAAATCTGAGTCCCCAGTCTGCTCAGGACATCGCCAGTGGCTCTTGGTCTGGCCTGCGGGGACTGGGTAGTTCAGCGCCGTCAGCGTCAGCTGTGACTTGAGAAGTGACCCCACCCCAATAACAGAGAACATAAAGCAAAGAGATGATGTGATCAGCCGCCGATGAACATGGGGGCTTCAACGGACCCATTCTTCCTTAACATCCATAGATTCTGGGATCACCCAATCCCCATATTTCCAAGTGCTACTAGACTGGGGTACAGGCCCTGGCCAAGACTGCACACTGGTAGATTTCTTTCTTCCTAGCCCCAGGATGGGGTGGGGGAGGCAATCTTCTGTGGTCCAGGGCCAGTCTGTGGTCCAGACTTGCCCAGAGGCATTGCAGCCTGAGATCATCGCCAAAAGTGGCCTTGGCAGTGAAGATGGGGCACGTCTTTTAGGAGTGGAGCCCGGATGGACAGAGAAAGCCTAGAGGGATCCGACTTTCCCACGGTGAAGTATATGCAGGTGGGTCGGCGCCAGGGCACCCCTGCAAGATCTCGTCAAGTCAGAGACACCCCCAAATGAGGAAGTGAAAGGAAGGATTTGGAGTTTGGTGTCAAGTCTTAGACAAGTTCACTTCAGTGTTTGTTCCTGCTTTGAATTCTGGGCCTTGTATTTTTCTCGGGCCAGACTGAGAGCGGCTGGTGATGTGCTGGTCCTGCCGTTCTGCAGAAGGCTTCACCAGTTTTGTCTGGGGTCTGGGAGGATCTGAGGTTTGCCCCTTGGGCTTTGCATCTGTTAATGGGGTTTTAGCACAGATCAATCCCCTAGGCACCAGGCAATGGCTTCCTGGAGCTCTGGCCCGGCTGTCTGAGTTCAGTAGCATCTCAGTAGCTCTCTCATTTTCTCTCACCCGTTTTCTTGGCTCCACAAGGAAGCAGGGCATGAAAGTATGAGTACTTGGGCAAAGCAGACTGGCAGTTCCTCAGGGCATCATCGATCACGCACACTCTGTGGGACCCGGAGCTGCCACTGCTATGCTCATCCAAGAGGAACATAAAAACCTGTCTGTGCAAAGACTTGCATGCAAATATTTGCAGCAGCTTTTTTTCATGCTGGACAAAAACCTGGGAACATTTTATAGTCTGCCCACAGGAGACTAGATAACTGTGGCATGCCCACACGGTGGAATATTACTCAGCAATATAAAGGAATGACTGAACTGTGCAGCCGCACAGGTGAATCCTCAAACACTACGTCAAGGGAAGGAGGCAGACAGAAAAAGAATGTTTGTTGCACGTATTGCAAATATATGGATGTCAGGAGCAAGCAAATCTAATGTGTGAATTTAGAAATCAGAATAGGAGTTGCAGAAGAGTAGGGTACAGATGAGCTAGAAAGTGCTGGAAATGCCCGAATGGGGTGTAGCTCTGGCCCAGCTGTCAGAGGGGGCACTCATGGTGGACACAGACACAAGACCATCCACGCTGTGTCTGCGCAGTGCTCCACCTGACCCTGCACACACATGCAGCCCCTGGGTGCCTAGTTCCGAGCGGACCGAGTGGGCTCAGTTCCGATAATTTGCACATCTGACATATCTTGATGACCTGCCCTGTGTGAGTCTGTCTGTCCATCGCTTGCTGCTTTTTTATCCTGCCACCCCAGCCCTTCCCTGCCTCTCTTTTTTTCTCCCCTACTCGCATCCCTTTTGCAGTTTTAGATGCTCCCTCCTCCTTGGGTCTTGCCAATGGTTGTGGGATGTCCTCGCTTTTCTCAGAGGGAAGTGAATGGGCCCATTGACATGCGTGCTTCAGGGGTCCCTCACACAGCGGATGCAAAAGGGCATCCTTACATTTCCAACTGGCCTCCCCTCCCCTCCGACGGCTCACACCGGAAGCTGCAGGTGCCCACCACCTGGGCGGGATCCACACATCAGCCAGCCAGCCTCCCAGCCTCCGACACAGACACTGACCGCTTCCTTCTCTCTCCTTCCTCCCCCAGAGTCCCCTGTGAGCCCAGCTCCCCGCCCCCACCTGCAGAAGCACCGGATTTAATGCCTCAACTGAGAGAATGAGATGTTCTGTTATTTTTCATGGGAAATTAAACCTGACCCTGCTGTCAGTTAGCTCATGCCTGGGAGGATGGACGGCCGGGCAGCGCTCAGCGCACTCCAGGGCCAGGATAGAGGCACAAAGGAGGGGAGAGGAAGTGCCTGGCTGGGGGCCAGCCATGATGTCAGCTGCCTGGGGTGGGGGCAGAGACAGGAAAGGTCAGAGGGCCTTCCTCTGGGTGATGGATGGCTGGATGGCCGTAGAGACAGACGCACCTCGGACACTGGCTGCGCCCCGCTCCTCCGGGGAGACTCAGGCTGTTCTGTCTCTTCCAGCTCCCAACTCTACCTCGTGCCCCACGGAGGAAAGCTGGTGGTCGGGGCTGGTGATCGTCATCGCCGTATGCTGTGCCTCCCTGGTGTTTCTCACCGTGCTTGTCATCATTTGCTACAAAGCCATAAAAAGGTGAGTGCTCACCCACTGTGCCGGCTCTGTGTCCCTGAGACCCGGCGGGCTGGGCGCGGTGCTCTTCGGCCCATTCGTCACTTTCTTTTTTAAGATAGATGATTAAGCACAGAGTGTATAATGAACTACCCTCACCCAGAGATGGCCAAGGTTTTTTTTTTTTTGGTCAGTCATAGGGCTTGAACTCTGGGCCTGGGTGCTGTCCCTCAGCTCTTCAGCTCAAGGCACACACTCTCTCTCTACCACTTGAGCCACAGCACCACTTCCGGTTTTCTGGTGGTTAATTGGAGACCAGAGTCTCATAGACTTTCCTACCCAGGCTGACTTTGAACTGCAAACCTTAGATCTTAGCCTCCTGAATAGCTAGGATTACAGGCATGAGCCACCAGCACCCAGCAAGCTGTGGCTTGAATGATAGAGCACTAGCCTTGAGCAGAAAAGCTAAGGGACCGCGCTCAGGCCCTGAGTTCAAGCCCCAGTTTGCGCGCGCACACACACACACACACACACACACACACACACACATCTTACAACAAGCAATTGATCCACACATGGTTTGAGAGCCATGAAAAGCCATCAGCCTGCATCCAGTGCCTGGCAGAAGACCCACACACCAGGGGCACTGCCACACTGGACAGGCCTAGCCCAGGGCTGTGCTTCCCAGGGAAAGCCCTCCTATACTGCAGAGAGATGGCTAAGGCACACTCCCAAGAGACAGGGAGACTCTGGCTCCCTCTCGTCGCTCCCCAGCCGGCGCTGGCTCCTCTCTCCCCAGTGTTCCCATTTTACCTTCTCACCTTCTCATAGTTAGGGAGCTGCTGTGCGGAGGGCACAACCAGGGAGCGTGAAGCCAGACTTTGAACCCAGAACTGAGCGTTGTTGTGGTGTTCACAATAAGTTCAACTTGCACTCTGGCTAGGAACAGATCCCCCCCCCCCGCCCCCCGCGTTCCGTCTGCCCTCAGGGCTGTGGAAGAAGGGGCTCTGAGGACTGGTGCAGAGTACCTTGTCCCTCCCTACCTTGCCACAAGGACAGGCAGACAGAGACCCCGGGGCAGGGCCTTGGCCTTGGCGAGATCCCACTCAGGCTCTGCCATTACTAAGTAACCCCAGGGAGGAGGGACCTAGAAGCCCTGAGGCTGGGAAGGGAGCTAGTGGCCTGCGGTGGCTGTTGAGGAGAAGTGGTGAACTCAACAGAGTCGGGGCTAATGAACTGCTGGACTAGGAAGATTTTCAGGAGCAGAGCACGGGCCTGCGCTCCCAGGCCCCAGGAGGAGCTGCCCCCTCCCCCCCGGGGACCTGAGTCTGACTGGGGAGCCTCGGATTCCAGGCTGAGCAGGCTGCCTGTGACTGGGCTGTGGGAGCCCGAGGGTTTCAGGGGAGAGTGCAGCACTGCGGCCCTGGCTGCCAGTCCCCCCTCATCTTTGGGAGATGCTCAGCCTAACCTTTCATAGATTCAGAGCTTCCAAAAGGTGCACCGAGACAGCGGGGCCTGCTTCCTGCCTCAAGCTCCCCTGAAGAAACGGGTTTCCTGCCTTTGGAGGAGAGGAAGGGAATGTAGCAGAACTGACTCCCATTAACACATCTGTACCACATCTCCCAGCCTCTCCCAGGAGAGAGGCTTTCTTACTATGGAGTGGGCGTGGCTCTGGCCTAGGACATCTCTCTAGGCATATCCGCTGGCTGGTAAAAAGCAGCAAAACTAGCTGGGAATAGAGCAGTGGGGATGGTGAGCACCCTAGGGAGAGGAAAGACTAGGAAATTGTGCCATGGGTGCCTTCTGAGAGCAGAAGTCGCTCACACATTAGAAGGACTTCCAGCTGGGCCTGTGATTGGACCTGAAAGATGTATTCCCAAGACAGGGAAGAAGGGCTGGATCTTCTCCCAACCTCTGCTACCTCTTGGGTCTCCATGGATGACTTGAATGACCAAACCCCAGTCCAAGAGGAACCAAGCCAGCTGAGGCCAGCTTCTGGGGCACAGGGCAGGGAGAGAATGGGCAGCTGGGGGTAGCGGAGCCGGCAGCCCAGCCATTTCCACTCAGCCTTCCGCCCTCAATCCAGGGAGAGTCCCCGGCGCAGGGGGGTATTGAGTGTCAGGAGGGGCTCTGCAGGGAAGGTGAGAGCCAGGCTGAGCCCCGGGGGAGAAGGACGTTCATACCTGGTAGACAAGGCCACCCCCAGAGCCCGTCTCACTGCCTGGAAGAGCAAGCCGGCAGCGCGGCACTGCCAGGGACCACCCTGGTCACTCCGCACATTCATTGGGAACACGCCTTTTCTCTCACCATGGAAAACCATCGGAAGACAAAGTCAGCAGTACACCCCATTCTTTAAACAGGATTTTTTTTAACCCTCACAGCCATAAGTCCCAATTTTTGTAAATGGCCCTAGTGCAGGTGGAAGGTTCTAGAACTGGCTAGGAAGGTGATTCTGGAGATGCCAGATTGACATTTGGGGATGTCTTCAGGGGAACTCAGGAAGTACCCCCAAAGTGCCCTCCCATCTGTGGCCTTGGCTGCAGGGGGCGATCTGGTCAGCTTTTAGGCACAGATTTGAAGACTAGAGTCTGCGCTCCAGACTAGGGCTCTGCACCCCTCCCCCTGGGCTCAGCTCTGGCATTCACGGCTGTTCACAGCCACTTGTAGTAAAAGCTTTACCTCATGGTCGGGGCCTTGAAGCCCAGTGGCGGCACAGGGCTGCTCAGGACGTCCGTGTTGGTCCGCATGTGTTCACTGTGTACTTCCTGTGTGCCCAGGACCCCTGCCTTTTGTGAGTGGAAGGGGGGGGATTAAGCACAAGACCAGCAAACTACCAGAGGGAACAGGATGAAAGACCGTAAGGGCTACGAGGACGTGCAGGTTGTGGTGAGGGAAGGAGGGTGCAGCTTTCTCCTCCCAGACTCGGGGTGTCGGTGCGTGCCTCCGGAGGGTGCTGAGTGATGAAGAAGTGAGGTTAGGGCTCTGCTGGCTTCATACACCTTTTTAGTTTAGTTTTTATACATACCGGAGTAATCACTCACACATGCAGTTCCCAAGTGGCAAATCGTTCCACAAAGGCTATGAAGAAAAACAATAGTCCTTGGCCTTCACCTCCTCTTCCCTTAGTCCCCTTGAGAGGCAGACACGTGTGTGTGTGTGTGTGTGTGTGTGTGTGTGTGTGTGTCTGTCTGTCTGTCTGTCTGTCTGTCTGTCCATGCCTGCCAGTACCAGGGCTTGGCTCTTTCACTCAAAGCTGGCATTCTACCACTTGAGCCACAGCTCCACTTCCAGCTTTTTGCTGGGTAATTGGAGATAAGAGTCTCACAGACTTTTCTATACCTAGGCTGGCTTCAAACCTTGATCCTCAAATGTCAGTTTCCTGAGTAGCTCCAGGCGTGAGCCAGCAGCACCTGTCCAGGCAGCCACTTTTAATTGCTTTCTTTGGTATTTCTCCATAGATTCTAAGTGATTGGCAGGCAGCTATTTAAACAGTGCTTATTGACTTTCTGCTCCAGAAGACAGCAAGGTCTATGAAGAGAAAAGTCTGGTTATAGTGAGGAAGGGAGGGGTCCAGCTCTCCCTGCCTGGGGGCGTCATGTGCTTGCCTTTGGAGGGTGCGGAGTGATTTTTAAACAGTGCATACTGACTTTCCACTACGGAACACAGCAAGGTCAGCACCCTTAATTCTCAACTCCCAGTGTACCTGCACCTAACAGACACCCCTGGGGGAGGGGGGAAGCAGACCTGGAAATTGACTTTAGCATGACAGTGTCCATATTGGATGTGGCTGAGCCGCTTAGCATGCTGTGCTGGTTCCTTCTGGAGCCACAGTGCCTCCTGGAGATGTGGTCAGTACGCGGCTTCCAGGGTCTCCAGGAGACCCCGACCCCCTGCACGGCGGACTGGGGCTCCCTGCTCTCCCCACACTCAGCCCTCCGTCCCCGCCCCTTGCCACCAGGGCACCAGCTCCCCTTGAATTCTTCCCTGGATTATAGACTCACTAGACATTCATTGTCAATGTGACAATGGTGCTTTCTCTTTGGAGATTTGAGGTGGCGCAGAGAAGGGCTCTTTCTTACTGAGCCTGTGACATCCCCCTGCCCCCTCCCCACCCCAAAACTGGACTATCAGAGAGAGGGGAGGGAATGAGGTTCCTACAGAGTCTGAGCCACTATAAGCGTCCAAGGTGAAGGGTCAACCTGTTGTCTCACAGATGAAAGCAAGTTCCGTCCGTCTTCCCTGCCCTGGGTCACTGCCCTCTGCCTCTGTTGAGGGAAGGGTGTGGTTCACGCGTGGGCCCACGCAGGTGTGTCTGAGGGGTGTGTGCACACGCATGTCAGGTGGCTTCAGTTATCTCTTCTGACTTGTGCCTGGCACAGTGCCTGGCCTTTAGGGACTGTTTGGTGGCTATTCCTGAGGCTTGAATAGAGACTTGTTTACAGAGACATCTTGGACCGCAGGTTTTAATCTGATAAGTGCTCCCTCCGCCCCTGCCCCATTCTGGAAGAGTGGCTTAGAACCCGGCTTGGGGATGGAGAACATGTCCAGTTTTCAATGCCTAGCCCCCAGTCCTTCACCAGCACCCCTTTCCCGGGCCCTCTGTGGTCTTGGCTCCCCTAGTTTCTGGTATGCACACTGTGGTCCCTGCTAGCAGGGAGGACAGGAGGACAGGACAGGGCTGGGACTCTCCATCCATGCTCAGCTCTCCACAAACTGGGAGCATGGAACTCGCCTTGAAGTGTCTTGGAGCCCCGGGGCCATGGCACGGGGTTACCTCATGGAGCCAAGCATCTGTGGCCAGGTGGGGGCCCCTGCAGAGACACCCACCTTTCCCATCTCCCTGCTGGGATGTCCTCAGGCTCAGTCTCTGTCTCTCTCGCCCAGTATCCACTCAGCACAGCTTCTCTTACCGAGAGTCAAGTCCAAGTTCCTGCAGGGCCAGGAAGGGCCTCTTCTGGTCAAATGCTGGGCACTGACCATGGCCTTGGCTGCTCAGAACCTTTCGGATGTCTTTGGTGCCTTGGTGCCAGTCTAGATTCTGGCTTTGTTGCAGTATACGAATCAGTCTTGTGGCTAGAGCCAGCGCTCTTTCGCTGGTGTCCCTGCTGTCTAGGTTTGACATTTCTCCCACAGGCTTCCCTTGAGATTCAGGAGCTGCTGTTTCTCACCATCATTGCCAGGCGCGGTCCTGACCAGACTGGGGTGCTCAGCTCTGAGAAGGGCTGGAAGTGAGAGGTAGCAGCAGGGAGGCACCCAGCCCTCTCCATCTGTGCACCTTCCTCCAGGCCCCAGGGCTTTGGAGCCTCCATCATCAGCAAATATGAGGGGGGGACCCTTGGGGCTGCCCATTTGGTCTGGAGTTAGGACATGTGTTGTCTATAGTAAATCTACAGTCAGAGGAGCCGCACAGTGAACCTCAGTGGTATATGTGCATGCAGGGGTGTGTGTGGGTGTGTGTGTGCGTGCACGTGCGCGCACACACACACCTGTGCATGTACACGCTACCAATCCTGGGCAGTGGGGAGAACGGATATCTTGGGAAGGAAGCCTCTGGGTCCTGACACCTGCATCAAAGCAGACCCTCTGCTGGGGCAAGTGAGACAGGAAGGGAGCTGGGCAGCCTCCCTCCCTCCTTCTCCCTCCCTCCCCCCTCCCTCGGCAGGCTGCTCAGGACTACCCTCTCCCGTGTGAAGTTGTCATCTCCTTAGCAGTGGGACCCAAGAGAGCCCCCTGGGTTCTGCTCTGCCCGCCCAGCTCGGAGATGCCAGGCGACACCATTTATGCAGAAGTCCCTCGAGACTGTGCCGCAGGAGCTCTGGGCATTGCCCTGCCAGAGGACAGCATGGAGCAGCTGTGGCTAGCCAGGCCCAGGTCCGGACAAGAGGTCTCCAGATGGGACCAAGCTCCCTCGTTCCCAGGACCCCTGGGCACAGCCAGGGAGAAGCTCACTAGCCTTTCTCTTGGTTTTAGGAACCATGCCATTTAAGGAGCTCTGGGTGGCCATCTCTGCCTGGACCCGGGTGGCAATGTCTTTCTTGGGCTTAAGGGGACCACCCCTGACTGGCCCGCCAGGAGCCTGGAGCCAGGCCAGCTCCCCCTAGCACTTCTGGAACCTCAGAGGGCGTGTTAGGTAGGCTGCCCGGCAGACCGGAGCGTTGTGGCCTTTGCTGCCCAGGGCACAGCCTCCTCCTGCCGACACCTCTCCCACAGCAGCGCTGAGAGCTAACGTGTACTTACCCTATGCCGGAGACCCGCCCATGTGCTGGACACGCACTAACATGTCTAATCATCCCAGCAAGCCTACTAAGTGGGCGCCACGGTCATGCTCATTTTCACAGATGAGGAAACAGAGGCTCAGAAAGGTGGTGCAGCATGCCATGTCAGCCACTCAATGCCGTGCTTGGTGAAGGGAGGAAGTCGGGGGCAGGGGTAGAGCCATCTTCTGCTCCAGGAAAATCCAGCTCTCATGGGAAACCTGACAGGTTTGGGGAGCAGCGTTGGGGCACAGCCCAGGGAGCACATTGGTAGAGGATGTGTCTTGGGTGCCAGGGGAGAAGCAAGTGGAGCCCTCCATGTGACCTCATGCCCCTGCCCTGGCAGAGATCGGTGAGCAGCTCCATGAATGAGGTACAGGGCGTGATGAGCGTCCAGGGTTAAAGGTGAATGCAGCTGCTAGCCTCCGGGTCCTTGGGAATCTCTGAGGAGTGGAGGAGGCTTTCCTGTGTCCTGGGGAATAGCTGCTGGGAATGCCAACCCATTCGTGAGCATGACTAGGACAGACAGACAGTAGCAGTGGGTGACGATGAGCAAGGCTCCACCACAGTCTAGCTGGAGGACCTCCGCAGTCAGAGCCCTCGGCAAGCCTCAGTTTCCCCATGAAATGACCTCCAGCTCCAGCCTAGCTGCTTCAGAGGAGAGACAAGGCGATCTCTACTGCGAGTGTTTTATATAAAGCACGCTGCACCGTGGACCCAGTGTGGGTTTGATGTCCCCTCTCGTGCTGCGGGGGGCGACTTTTCTCACAAAGAAAAGTGTGTTGACTGAGGCTGGGTGATTCCACTCAGAACACCGCCAACAGTGTCCTGGAATTCCTCTCTCCCCTCAGCTCACTCACAGCCTTTCTCCTATGGGCTTCGAACTCGTCACTAAGTACCACGATTGCTTTGGGAAGCTCTGGGGATACTTAAGACAAATCCATCTTGGGCTTTTGATGATCACCATAAATACTCAGTTTAGACAGCATTCAACTGCAGTCTGCCTGGCTCAACCCCAGCACCTCTGGGGACATGAGTGATGGCCCCCTGGGAATCCTATCCACCCAAGAGGCAGCAGTGGGGCACCGTGCCCCTGAGCCCCACAGGACGCACAACACAAGCAGGGTGGGGGCAGGCAGGGTAGGAGTCAGAGCCTGAACGAGCCAGGCCAGAAGCAGGCACTATACAGAGATCTCAGCACCTCAGCAAGCAAGAGCAAAGGCTCTGCCCAGCCTTCCTGACCTCCTGTGTGCAGAGGGGAAATGGTCTCGGGGCTCCAGGGCCTCTGGGACAAGCTTCAGATGATTCAGTGTGAAGTATCCAAAAGCCACTGGTGTGAACCAGCGAATGGAGCGTGGGAATTCACCATCGTCATCCCCATTGGTCTTCTGTCCCACCATTGCTATCACCGCCAGCAGCACTACCACCACCTCTACCACATTAGCAGTGCAAGCGCCACACCACCATCGTCATCACCACCATGGCCCTCATCCCCACTAGCACCACTATTGCCTTCATCATGGTTACACACAACCACCACCATCATCATCACTACCACCGTGGGCCATCATCAGCACTAGCTCCTCTACTGTCTCCTTTACCACGGTTACCAACACAGCCACCACACCATCATCACCAAAGCCCTGACCACCACTAGCACCTCTGCCGCCTCGTCCACCATCATTACAGCACAGCTACCGCTGTCAGCGTCATCACCAACACTAGCCTCTTGTGACCAACATCCCCTTCATCACATTTTTCTATTGCTTTTGGCCACACAGAGGCAAGAGTGCAAAATGCGGTCACTAACGCCTCTCTTCTAACCATCCGGACTCCCAACTATTCACCTTTAACTGTCTGCTCGCGATTAAAGGATTCAATCAAAGCTTGATCCTACTGGGCTGACCATACATTGGTTTGCCTAGAAAAGTCTCACTTCAGGCATGTTGTCTCACTCCCCTTCCCTCCTGAACCATGTCCTGGTTGACATGCTAAATTAGAATCTTATCTAGCTTCTGATTGATCCACAAGGACCAGCAGTCCAAAGATACTAATCTCTAAGGGCCTGGAGGGCTGGGAGCCCCCCCCCCCAATGCCGATGACTAACCCTGTTTGTGCCTCCCCTCCCCTCCTCCTGCCTTCACCCCTTTCCAGGAAACCACTGAGGAAAGAAGAAAATGGCACCAGTGTTGCTGAGTACCCCATGAGCTCTGCACAGGGCAACAAAGGGGTAGATGTGAACAATGCAGTGGTGTGAGTCTGCAGGCCTGGACCCCCTGGCCGGGAGGACACCTTCGTGGCACTAGTGGACATGGGAAGGTGGTGGGCACCAGCTGACCCTGGCCTCGTCCGGGACTTCATGCCTTGTAAACCCGGAGCCTCCTGAAGGAGGAAAACATCCTCTTCCAAGGCTGGCCCTGTCTGGGCAGCACTGCTGACAGGCTGAGCGCAGCCCCCTGCATGCAGCACCTGGGCTGGTGGCATGGCCTGAGGCTCTCCATACCCCTCTCTTTGTCTTGTCTTTGGCCCACAAACGTCCCCAGAGGGTCTGGCTGTCTCCTAGGGTGTGGAGGCAGGCACCCCCGTTAGTCACAAGAAAGCTGATCTAGAGCCTGGAAATCTCTCCTCTTCCTCCTCCTCCTCCTGCCCCTCCCCCTGCCCCTCTCCCTTCTTCCTCCTCCTTCTCCTTCCTCCTCCTCCTCCTCCTCCTCTTCCTCTTCTTCTTCTAAGTAACCCCAGGGAGGAGGGACCTAAGTAACCCCAGGGAGGAGGGACCTAGAAGCC